AGCTTAATAGGAAGAACAGATGCAAAAGGGTGGTTTTCTTCATTTATCCTTGATAGGAAATTATTATGATTCTGTTGCTATTGTACCTAATTAGTACAGATTTTACAATTTAAATTATGTTTCGCATCCTTAGAAGGTACCCTGGGAGGCAAAAAAACATAGAATATTTTCTTTTTTTTTTTTTTTTTTTTTTGTCTTTTTCTTTTTTATCGGTACCGGGGATCGAACTCACGACTGCCTGTTTGCAAGGCAGGCGCTTATGCCGCTGAGCTAAATCCCCAGCCCCAGAATATTTTCATTTAACAGGAACAGTAAGAATAGGTCTAAGGAGAAATGAGTTTGGCTGTTCTAGACCCTGTCATTTTTGTTCTGTTCTGTGGGTGAAGTAGTTGACTATTCAAGAATTCATGATATGAAATAACAGTTTAAGAATTTTATAGATGTTTTAAAAATATCTGATGCATTCATAAAGCTACTTGTGGCAAGTAGTGGTGTAGTAAAGGTGAATTGAATGGGGGGAATTTTTATTTCTAGAAATTTTTATTACACTCTTATTGGGCAGAAGTAAGATAAAGATGTGTGGTTAAACTGCGTGCTTTCATTTGAGTCTGTAAGAGCCATTCAGTACATACTTGTCAAATTGCATAGTCATTTGGAGGGATTAAATTGTGAGGCTTTAACTTGTTATATCAGCTTTATAGAATTTCTCAAGCATTTATTAACAACATGCCCATTCAAATGGTCGCTATATTTGCAATTTATATGACCACATTAAAAGAGTTCTTTGACATATGAAGGAAATAAATTTTCTGAATGATGAAATGTATCAGAATTTATACATAGGACTAAGCTGATCTCTTAAAATACAAACAAACATACACACTAAAATTTTCCTAGACAGAATATGAGTCATGGGAATCATATAAAGCCTGTGGTGGTGCTGGAAGAGAAGAGAGTGTGTCAGCCTTCTCTCTCCATTAGATCATTTCTCTTACATGATGAGTAGCTACATTATAGCTAATGCAACTAGCAAACTTCCTGACCTGAACGAAGAAATTAAAGAATGTTTTACTTTTCCTATAGATCATTCAGTGTCTTAGTGTTCATTTGGCCCTATAGCATTTTGAATCCTAAAAGATGAACCATGTAATTTTTAGAAGCCTTAAATTAAAACTAAAGTTTGATGTGTTACTCTGGGCCCCCTCCTACCCCACCAAAAACCTTCGAGTCTAGGGCCATTCATTAAAAATGCAATTAGGTATTAAGAATTATTTATAAAATGAGTATTAAAGCACAAATCAAATAATTCTTAACCCCTAGTTTCTTCTGATGTATATCAATTTTATGAGCAGTATAATGAAAATCTGATATAGGGAAGGGCTTATGGTTGCTGTTGGAATTTGCTCTTTGAGATCATGAAAGGTAAATAGCAAATTATTCTCAATGACCAAGTTTTATTTTTCCAATATACGAATGCTATGTGTTAAACACACCAGACAGATATTATAACCCACCCTACCTGTGCCTTTATGTTCCCAGTGAGCAAGTACCACTTAGCTAGCAATGCCTGCGCAGTATGAGACATAGACCAGGTGATATCTAAGGTTCCTTCTTGTGCTGAGATGTCCCACCTTTCATTGTAGAAAAATCCTGCATGCATTTAGTCACTTGCCTTAACACTTAACTGAGCAAGTTCCACACAAGAAAAATTATCCTCAGACACATAAGCACTCTTAAGCCAGGCTTCGTGGTGCACACCTGTAATCCCAATATTTTGGGAGGCTGAGGCAGGAGGATCACAAGGTCTAGCCTACTGTGGGCAACTTAGTAACACAGCAAGACCCTGTCTCAAAAAAAAAAAAAAAAAAAAAAAGATTGGGGATATAGCTCAGTGTGAAAACTTTTGAGTTCACTCGGCAGTAACACACACTCACGCAAGAGAATCATACAAAGGAATGCAACAACAATTTTTAAAAATGTACTTCATTGGAAAGACCTCTCCACATCCTGAATGCTTCACTCTCCACAGCTTCTTAGCTGCTGGTAATTGCTAGTGAGACATGACATAGGAAGAACGTCATTAGCCAAAGAAGTTTGTTCTTCAACCTGAAGGTATAGCAGAATCATATGTGGCTGGACCCACCACGGGGATTGTGATGCAGTACACCTGTATGGGGCCCAAAATTTGCATGTCTTCCAGGTGTGCTGGTGTACAGCTATACTCCCAGCAGTTAGGAGGCTGAGGCAGGAGGGTCATTGTGAGTTCAAGACCAGCCTGGGCTACAAAGTGAGCTCAAGGCCAGCCTGAATAGTGAGACCATGTTTCAAAAAGACAAAACAAAACAAAAAACTGAAACGTGCATTTCTAACAAGTACCTAGCTGGTGTTGAGGTAATGCTGCTCCCTGACTTGTACCTAAGAACTACTCAGGATCTGAGAACAAAAGGCTTTCCCACGTAGCTGATCATATGGTTCTTCTCATATAGTTCCTGCCATAGTTGGAGTGGTTCTCTTGACTGATTGAGGGTTGCCTAGAGGATTGGCAAAGCACACTTCGCTGTATGTGTTCTGGCTTATGTCTAGATGAATTCTCAAAGCCTCATGCAGTCATAGGTGGGCCTTTTTCAGAGGTAGCTGAATCTAAAACGTGATTGATTCATAGCACAATGTTTGGGTTAAGTGCGGCTGATAGCCGGATCAAGCCACTGATTAATTTGGCACTACCCTAATCTCTGGAGTTTGGATACAATATAAGGGACAGAAAGAGGCTTGTCTTGTCCTTCGTTGTCTTGCTACCTTCTGCCTGCCATGAACTATTTCTCCTCTGCAATGCCACCCTGCCTTGGAGCCAGCCAATTATGGACTAGAACCTCTACAAACTGTGAGCTAACTAAACCATTTCTCCTTTAACTTTGAGTGTCAGGTATTTTGTCTTAGCAGTGAGAAAAGTAACTAAGACAGGAGGTGTCTTTGAAGTGAGCTGAGTGGGGAAAACTATCCTGAACACTAGCAGCACCATCGTCGAACAGGCTGGCACCTGGATGTACCAGAAACATGGGAGAAGGGGAAGCTAGCTCCTGCTGATAATTATGCTTGACCTTCCTGGGACTTGTACAATCCCTTAGGCTTTTGCCTTTGTCCACCAGACTCTAGTTCTTTAGCCTTTGAATGCAGACTTGCAACAGGAGCTCTCCAGGGGACTTTTAGGCCTCCCTCCCATTCTGAGGCTTCTGGCTTCTTGGAGTGAGCAGCCACTGGATTCCCTGGCTCTCCAGCCTGCAGAGGGCCATTGTGGGCCTTTTGAGCCTCTGTGATCCTGGGAGATAATCTGTGAAATCCCCTCATGTATATTCTATTGGTTCTTTGTTCACTTTCTGCCCTAACAAGGGAGAGAACTTTGGTAAAAACACCTGAGGACAGTTGACCTGACTACTGGTATATTCTTCAGAGGGAGTCAATTGCCCTTTCTTTAGAGAAACTCCAGGAAATAAAAGATCAGCAGTTATAGGAGGGAAGAAAACTAGACAAAAGGAAAAGGAGACATGCCAAAACAAAACAATATACAGTTTGAAAATCTAGAACCAGAAAGGACTGTGGACTTTAGGCACAAGAAAGCATATAGTAATCTGTTAGGGCCTCTAGAGGAACCAGTACAGAATCTCCTAGAATGTAAAAAAAAAAAGTCCTACATGTCCATCTCCCTCCAGAAAGCTTTAGCTTACTCCATCCAGGTTTTTGGAAAACAATTTAGAGTTGGTTGTAAACCTCTGATTCCTCTATGCAGCATGAGAAGAGAATATTTTTGTGGTTTAATTGTGTTTTGATTAGTGTGCCAATATTCTGCCTTCGAATTATGTGTCATGTTTTCTTTCTGTTCCATGTTCACTGACGAGCAGTTTCTTATTTGAAATGGCCCTTGTGTTTTGTCCTGGTATTTATTATATTTCTTGCTTATAAATTTGGTATCATGAGGTATTTATTTTTATACCAGGCAAGAGATGCTTGAAGAATGATTCATATCATGAATAGTTCATCTTTTCATTGAGCTTGTGAAAAGCTTCAGGAAAAAAAAAACCTGATTTGCCATTTGTACTCAAGAGATTAAAACATTTCAACACTTAGGCCATTGCTATGTGATGGTCAAAATATAAATCTCAAATGACCACCACATATTGCCATTTGTATTTTGCAGTTATTTTTCCATGTCACCTTACAAATACTACAGTGCTGCCATATACTTGAGTTTATTATGTGTTCATTTTCTCTCTCTCTCTCTTTCTCTCTCTCTCTCTCTCTCAGAACACTGAAAAGAGACTTGTGATGTTACTGTCTGAATCCTTTAGGAACTGTAGTTTAACTTGCATACTTCCAATTGATACTAAGATCACAGAAAAACACCCAAGAACTTATTTTCACAAAATTTATGTGCTTGCTTCGGGGGATGTTACATTATATTTTGTAGCTGTAAGCATTTTCCAAGTATGCCTATGTAGACACCTATGGAGGAGGAAAAAAAAAGAGTCATGCCAAGTCAAACAACAACTTTTGAACATGCCTGCTCTGGTCTTAGGTTATAATTAGGCAGCACGACTCATTTGAATTTAGATGCTTGCAGTGAAATGTTCTGGAAAACATATTTTAGACATCTCATGCGCATTTTTATCCAGGTTTTGAGAGAGACAGAACATGAATGAGAGAGAATGAATGAAAGAAAATGAATGAGTATCTATGTACAGTTGTACTAACTCCTGAGAAGCTGTTGGTGGAAGTCTCATTTATTTTCCTGTCTTAGATGTAGATCCATATGTAAGTGACTTTGAAACATGGTTTCTTTTCATTGACAAATGATTTGAGATGCCACATTTCCTAAGAAATTCATTCTTTTCAAACATGTTTTTCAATTTAATTTCTTGATGGATTTTTAAAAATTTTCAAACTTATGTGAAAAATACTGTTAATTACTAAAATCCCTTGTTTAATTTTCTCTTTTTTGTTTTCAGAGTTCTTCAAAGAACTACTAGAGAACGCAGAGAAATCCCTGAATGATATGTTTGTGAAGACATATGGCCGCTTATACATGCAAAATTCAGAGCTGTTTAAAGATCTCTTCGTAGAGTTGAAGCGCTACTACGTGATGGGAAACGTGAACCTGGAAGAAATGCTTAATGACTTCTGGGCTCGCCTTCTAGAGCGGATGTTCCGCCTGGTGAACTCCCAGTACCACTTCACAGATGAGTACCTGGAATGTGTGAGCAAGTACACGGAGCAGCTGAAGCCTTTTGGAGACGTCCCTCGGAAGCTGAAGCTGCAGGTTACTCGCGCTTTCGTAGCTGCTCGTACTTTTGCTCAGGGCTTGGCGGTTGCAAGAGATGTAGTGAGCAAAGTCTCTGTGGTAAGTGCGGTTTACATTCTCTCTCTCTCTCTCTCTTTTTTTTTGGTCTTGTTTCATTTTAAAAGAAAGTTGGGGGAGGGGCCAAAAATAAATCACTAGAATCTGTTGGTCAATAACAATCTTCTCTTTTCCTTTTGCCTCTCAGACTTAATCCTTAGACATATTCCTTTAGAGTTACGAAACAACACTCTGATGAGCATCTTCATATATTGTTTCCTGTGATGTGCTTGGTAATCATTCTTAGAAGTAGGATGTGTGTTCCCTCTGGAATCCTATGCTTTAAGAATGAGTTTAATAATCTCCATGATGGTCTTTTTAGCTTTTATTTATTCTCACCACCATTCCACTACCCCCTCCATGGCCCTGGGGGTGGAACCCAGAGAGAACTGAGCTACAGCCTCAGCCCCCCCCTTTTTTTCCTCTTTTTACTATTGAAACAGTCTCAGGACTGGAGATACAGCTCAGTGGCACAGCAGCTGTCTGGCAAGTGTGAGGTCATAAGTTCGATTCCTGATACCAAAGGAAAAAAAAAAAAAAGAATGTCTCACTAAGTTGTCCAAACTGGACTCCCTCCTACCTCCCCTCCCAAGTAGGTGAGGTTAAAGGCCTGCCCCACTTGCAAGCAGCTCTACTTCCCCTCTCCTTGCAGAAGAAACACACGTGGCTTCCACATTTGGTTGTCTTGAATGACTATTTTTGAGCTTACCAGTTATAGTCTAGGAAGTCACTTCACACCTGTGAGCATATGGTTCCTTATTACAGCGTGTACTTGGAGCCATTTAGAAGATAGAGTATTCCCTGACTATTAATGTGGCCCACACTGCTCTTAATCATGACTTTGTTTTATGGCATTACCAGTTCAGAAAAATACAGTTGTAATCATATGAACAGGATCTGATGATGTGAACCTGTTTCTTCATTTGTAAATTAAGTGAATTGAACTGGATCAGTATCTTTCATACCATGTTTCTTGGAGCCAGCTTAGAAGGCACTGGCCTCAGTGAGCAGCAAGGACAAGGAAGAAAGGGGACTTCTGTCTCCCAGTGGGTGAAACTGAGCCATCTATGTCTTTATCTCTTGGTGCCACCAGAACAGCTTTGCATTCTTTGGCTTCCTGCAGCAGAATTTTGAGCAAGATTTCTTTCAAAGGGGTAAATGCTCCTTCCCACTGTTCCCCACTTAATGATGCTTGAAAATACCTTTCGTGTGTGTAGTGCTGGGGATGGAACCCACAGCCGCATGCATGCAAAGCAAGTGCTTTATCACTGAGCTATACCCTAAGCCTCTGAAAACTGTGAAGGCCCTTTCACCACTACCCTTCCATGACCTAATACCAGGGAAAATACAGATACATCAGGTCAAAGCTATCTTTACAAGATTGGTCCTGGTGCTCCTAATCACTAGACCCTCAAGGGAAAAGTTAAATTGTAGGCCATTGCTAAAAAACCTAGGTACACAAGGATAGAAGTTTCTGCTTAGGCCATTTGGCTGTTTTGAAGCATAGAGGAATAAACATAAAAACTGGACAGCACTACGCACATTAAAGTAGCCACCTGACTGCCTGTCAGAGAGTTCATCTACAGTTAGGATGACCATATTCATTGTCTGAACTGGGACACTTACTATCTGAACTAGGAGGTGCTTATTAACAGCACTACCCAGAAAACAGGTGTTACTATTTGTTAATAAGCGACAAGGACTGCCCAGGATGTATGGTCACCTTCATAAGAACAGAAATTTCTATTCAACAGAGTGAAGATTCTAAAGATTAGTAATGTGAAAAATAGGTACATGCACAAGTTTTCCTATTAGAATTGGGTGATGATAAAGATTCGTTGATTGGTTGTGTTCATTACAGTATGATTTGCTCAGGCTCTGTCCTTCATCCCCAAGCTGTAAACTTTCAGGAAATAATTCCTTCCAATACATTTTTGTTTACTCTTTTTTTTTCTTTATTATAAATTGCAAATATTTGTTGGGGCACAATGAGGTTGGGGTAGGAATAAGAAAGGAGATGATTGTTAAAAGAATACTCTGGTTCTGGCCCTCCTGCCAACCCCATCAGCCATTATTAATGTTGGAGAAACCTGTGTCAGAGGCTCTGCAACAGTGCACAGTTGAGCCACGTCAAAGCTATTTGTATTGTAGTTCACCTGACATGTTTGCCTTCCTTCGACAATCCCTCACGTTTATCCCAAAATGAAAAGATAGGTACCGCAGTGTGGCTTGCCTATCTCGTGTATACATGTACACTCGTGCTGAAGAGAAAGGCAGAGAAGAAAGCAGGTGTTCGAGAAGAAGTTTCTTTACATTAAACTTCTCCCTCTTTGAATTCCAGTTTAATTTTTAGGAAGGAGGAAAGTTGTTTTATAACCCTTAAGATTGATCCTAACCTGATTTAAAAAAGCTTGATCCTTATTCTATTATTTATTGTAGTCTCATATCTGCCTAAGAGGGATTTGTGTAGTTTTTTAGGGGACGAGAGTTCATACAAGCAGTCTGCTGAATTTATATAGGGTAATGTGTACTTCCAAATTTTTAGTTGAAAATAATGTTTTGTGGCTCTTTGCAGTATTATATTTGTAATTGCAAACTTAAAAAAATATTGTTTTGGCTTCACTGTAGAGCTTCTAGACTTAAGGACTGACTTAAATTCAAACCGTTTAACTAAGTTGGATTAGATTATCTAAATTACATAATAATAAGACACACAGGCATTACATAAGTTTCTGAAGGTACTGGCACAGAATCTTCCACAGTCTTCCATTCGTGGAATGTTTCTCGGGAGTAGTATGCCAGGTATATTTGCAGACTTGAGAAGATAATTTATTATATTAGTTTTTGGAGCATCATTACCAGGTAAAGAGAATTTGGAGTCTAGTGGTATGGAGAAGACAGTAATTGACCTGGCTCCGCAAAATACAAAAAAAATCCATTTGATTAATAATTAAGTTTGGGTACCCAAGTCATTTTGTTCATATATAGGAGTTCCCACTCCTAATCCCAAACTGAAGTGCAGTTTCCAGGTGAAACTAGAACAACTCAAGAAATCAACAGACCTTTTGCTACCCAATAAAATTAATTGCCCTGGGCCAGAAAAAATATTCCTCCGAGTAGGGAACATATTTCTTAATTGAAGAGACCCACTTACCTCCAAGAAGGCCTTTATAGTGAAATATGACAAGCATTCTGGACTTGGGGCTATTAATTGCACCTATAACTTAGCAGTTTTGAGCTAAGCATTGGTTTGTTCACCACTATACCTTTAAAAGACGATTAGCACCAATAGGCTTAACTTAATGGAAGAGAAGGGAACTGCTTTGTTGAAGAATACCTGCCTTGATTTCGTTTTTCTGGGCCCAAACATCTCGTGATTGCAATTCACTCCATTGAGCTTTACAATGCAAACTTGAGAAAAATCCACTTAATTAGTAACAGATGGTTCAAGATTACTCCGGTGCTGCACATCCTTGGGTTACTTATTTCATCTTTATTTGTCATGGTTCATGATACATTTCTTATTTACCTGCTTGTAGCAGCAGTTTTGCCTGGAAGGGGGAAATCTGTTGTGGTCTTTCAGAAATGCACTAGTAGTTACATGCACCATGCAAATGAGTAGCTCCTATGCCAAAGAGAGTTGCACTCTTGTGGTTTCAATTAATACTGACATAATGGGACTGTGTCTACACCCCTACCCCAAATACAGGGGCTATAATTAGAAATCAGTGCCTTGCCGTTGAGGTATCTTAATGACTGTCCTGCCTTCAAATCAATTTCCATTTTTCCTCCATTTTTCTCTTTTTGCAATACCCCCAAAACCTGTAGATATATGAAACAGTGTTTCCATTTCCCAAAATAATTTCATATGTATATGTATTCCTACTCATTTGTGCATGCTATTCAAGTGTTCTAGCACTGAGCTATAACCTCATTCCTATTTATTGTTTTTAAACAAGTCCTTGCTAATAATATGGCCAGGCTGGTCTTGAACTTGAAATCCTCTTGTCTCAGCCTCGAGTACCTTGGAATACATCTAATTGTAAATTTAAATAAAGAACTTTCAATATGAAAAGCTTTTAAGAACCCATGTACAGCCCAGAATTTAGCTCAGCGGCACAAGCGCCTGCCTGGCAAATGCAAGGTCGTACATTCTATCCCTGTTACAGACATTAATTCAGGGCTTAATAGTATTTTTCATTCACAATCCTCAGGACTAGAATTGGGAAAAGGAAAGTAGTACTCAAACTGTGGCTGGGATAGGAAGAGTCAGTGTGCAGGAGGTGTCTGGGCTGAAGAAATTCAGATCACACAAGTTCAAAACAGAAGTAGAGCCCATTTCGAGGGGTTAATGCAGTGATGCTGAAACTTAAAGATTACAACTGAGTCTAAGCATGCCTCACAAAACAACACACTCAAGTATTTAGGCAGCTTGAGTTTTATTTACAACATATCCACAAATATTCCAGAATTAATCCTAGTTTATCCTATGCATTTTGTTATGTTCTTGAAATTCTATTATCAGATTAAAAAGTTAGGAGCTTCTCATCCTCATTTCTTTGTGCGTGCGTGCGTGCAGTGCATTCAGAGCTAATTAGGAAACTGCTGAATAAACTCATCACATCCCACGGCAAGTGTGGGTTCCCTATCTCGTTTGCTTACCATAATTTTGGGAAATATTTCCTGTTATTTTTATTGGGTGCTTCTGTTACCAAGCAACAGATAAAATCTAGACCGTTTTCTGTTTGTTTGGTACTGTTGGCTGTGCAAAAAATAAAATGCTGCAACGAATGTATGTTAGGAGCTGGAATAAACTAAAAGGAAATGTGTTTCTAACTTCAGTGCAGCATGTTAACTGCCATCACTGTGTAATGTGGCTTAAGGCTTCTTCCTCAGTTGCTGAAATGAAATCCAGCCTGTGTGAAGAGTTCTGCTCCAGCATGTTTCTTCTTTGCAAGCTGCTTGCAGTAGTTTTTAATGTGGTGTTTGGAAAATGCAGGTTA